GAAAGGGCGAGCATATTTGGCGCGACGGGGATTCGAACCCGCGACCCTCAGATTGCAACCACCTGGCCATGCCGGGCCCCATTACAGATGTAATTTTATCTACTTTCAATTTGTAATTTTCAAAAACTGTTAAGTTATTTCATGAACTTAAAAACATTCAGTTCCGAAACAACAGAGAATGGTTCCATATTTGGTGAAGAGTATATATATAAGTGTGTTAATTGTTTAGGTGTGTGTAATGGCAGTCATCGTTATAAGTCAAAGTTATAAAAAACTATCACGCCGTTAAAAATACTCTTATGAAGTTTCTGAAAATGCGTTTCAACCATGCTTGATAAAACATGACATTTTCTGGGATTCATTTGTTTGTTTGTTTGTTTGAAGTTAAGCATAAAGCTACACAATGGGCTATCTGTGCTCTGTCCACTAAAGGTATCGAAACCAAGTTTCTTGCATTGTAAGTTCGCAGACGCCACTGGAATTCTTTTTAAAACAAAACCCGTCGCCTTTTCTACAATTAAAGCCATGAAAGACAATACTTCATTCATCGTTAAATAAGTCTAAAAAATACAGGGCGTATAATACTTTAAACCAAATTAGATTCTTTAGATAATAGTTGAGGTATTATACTGCTTAGATACGAGTTGGTTACTTTAAATGTCGTACTAGACATATAGTAAAACTTTGGAAGTGACGATTCATATATTTCAACACTTTATACAACTCATGCTAATATTTAGTCCATAAAAAATATAAAAAAATACTAATACAAAGCGGAAATACACCTCTGTAATAATTTTATACTACAGAAGTTACTTCAGGCAGTTTTCTTGGTTCTTTCGCTTCCCTCCTGGTGATAAGTGTAGAATAGCAGTAGGTCAAAGCTTTTAAATTCATTGAGCTATTCGAAATATAATTAGGTCCCATTCTGCGCGTCGTTCTGTGTTATTATAATAACACTTCACCTCTAACACACAAACAATACCTCGTCGCTTGGAAGAACGGCATACTCAGGCCTCTCTGCTTTGAACATCAAGGAAACCAACCATATGGTGAATGTTAAGAATCTAATCCTAAAAACATAGTTAAGTCAGCGCGTAGATGCACATTTTATTCAACCGAATGGCATTGCTTGCGTATAAACATTCTGTGTATAAAAAAAATTATAGACCCCCTCTCACACACAGCCTAATTAAAATAATTAGAACTGACTATCTTTATAATCTTATAGTATTATAGCCTTTTAGTTCAGATAATGATCCTCCGAATGTGGAAACGGGCATTGTGCTATACTAGAAGGGAAGTTTACCTTGAAGATAATATTTAAAATATACAGGAAGATTAACAAACTGAAGATCAATAGCAATAAAATAAAGTCAACCTAACCATTTGTTTACTTAATATTTCTACGAGTTGTTAATACTTATTAACCGTAGAATACCATCAAAATATACAATTCTAGCCAACTATGAATAAAACATTTATGCTAGTGTGACAGCCTGGTACCACTTTAACTCTGCATTATGGTCAGTGACTCAGCCGTAAGTCTGCTAGCTTACAACGCTAAAAAAATTGGGTTTCGATACCCGAGGAGGGCAGACCACAGATAACCATTGTGTAGCTTTGGAAAACTCCAACGAAACAATCAAGGGCTATAGTCCGTCAGTGTTCAAAGTTAACTTAGAATTGTATACTGCGAGATAGAGAAAATTCTTTTTCGTAATTCGATTCTTTCAATATAATATTTAACAGTTCTTACAGCTTATTTCTTTTCGTAAGTCGTGTCATGCAAAACATTTAAAATAAAGTAATATTTTCATTAGGACTTAAAAAAGAAACATTTAAATATAACGAGTAACTTGAAAACAGTTTAGGCACTTCCATTAAATTAAAACTATTATTTGTTTTTATTTTCGAAGGATTACCCAAGTGAAAAACTAAGTTAGAAGTTTATTATAAAATGTGTTGATAATGGTGTGTTACTATGAGATTTATCAAAATAATTATCCAATTTCTCTACTATATACTTGAGTTTTTAGTTTGGTTTCGGAAATTTTCATAATATCGTGTTTTATGAAAGAAAAAAGAAATCGTCCATGTGTATGTACTTATAGTACAAAATTCTTTCTTACGGAGAATTAAAAGTGTACTAGTTTAGATACAAAAAAATCTTAAACCACGTCGATCGATTTGAAATGATGCACACTCGTGCTAAAAACATTACATTATTTCTGTCAGCGAATTTATATCCTTGCTATACTAATACCCGAGATAAGCTTTTCGATATTATGACATCACTTTATAGTCTTCTCTGGACAATATCTTATCGAAATATTTGGTGTTTAAAAACGCGCGTTTGGATATCTCAAAGTTTATCAAAGATGTTTCGTTAAGAGTAAATAAGAAATGGGGAAAGATGCCTAATCTAAGCAACTAAGTTATTAAGGTTTATACAAGTACTTAATGAATAGCATTAAATCAGTAAAAGTAAACACCTAAGTAATGACCTAACGCTACTTGTGATAACACTAACACACTAATTATCACCTGTAAATCTAATTGCTCAGTATAAGGAAAAGAAACT